GAATCGAAACTATCTGGGTCTTCTACAGTCCACAGTTTGGAAACGAATTGAGATGGATACTGGGAACAATCGTTGATCACTTCGATTTGAATCTCAACAATTGGAACTCTGCGAATTGACTTCTATAGGAACCAGCTCCATGCTCCATTATTGAATCGAACTCAAAAGTCAACTTAAAACCTGAAACTTATTTAATTCGAATTCCACATTCCTGACAAATTCAAGTTAGTCAATGATTCTTGATTTTCGGAACTCTTGCCTCACAGTCAACTCCTATATACATCATCACAAACCCAAAGACTCTAACATTGTTTATCCTTCTGCTCATGATGAAATGATAAGATGGATTTTGAATGTTCTCATGTTAACCTGATTATGACTTTCGATTTATTGTATATATTCCAGTTGAATTCATTAGGTAGCACGAGCAGGGAAAGTAGATTTTTTCTTCTGCTTAGTTGAGGTGGAAGGGTATTTTTTTGCATTTGTGTGGGTCAAAGGTTGACATGTACTTTCGAGGTCGAATCCAACACATTTTTGTGATCATGACAAGGTTGAGGAATTCCACCAATCAGACTCAAGGATTCGCTTCTTCTCGTCCCATCAAAGTTCCTGTAGAGTATGGATACTCAAGACTGGATAAGGATCCTTTTTATTTTTGATGTTCTCTGATGACTCTGTCATGCCTACTTGCTCTTATATGTATATCTCTCGACGCGCTTTCATACTGCTACTTCGATTAGCTCCAGTATCAAGCATAGATTGTGAAGGGATTTTTGTGCTAACGCATGATTTTCGGATATTATCACCTCACCCTGTATATAGTTACATTGCAGTATTGTTACTTTCTTATGCCCCATATTCGATAGAACTATGAGTGAGTCCCAAAATTTCATTATGGTACCTGCCGTATCTCGATTCAATAAATTTTATTTATTGTTAGAATCAGTTTCCTATTTGTTGCCATAATTCTCGTTATTTTCATTTATCAAATTGTTTCATCATCTATGCCACTAATAAAGAATTAAAAACGAAAACTTCGAGTAATTAACCTTGATAATTCTAGAATATTACACAAAGTTATCTTCTGCCTGTAAAGGTTCTGACGAGATCGAACTCAACTTGATAGGATCTTTTCACCTCGAGAGGAATGTGTAAATAATATTGACCAACAAGTTTTCCTCAATTGGAAATAATGTTGGTAGTAGGTGATTGGTATTTATTATTATGTACATTTTTATTCACCGAGACTCCATTCATATGTTCAGGATCTGCTGATATCTATTTCATTAATATTCAATAATATTCACCAAACATAACGAGAAACCTTGAACCAGAATACCAACAGGTTCAATAAACATATAATTATGACAATTCTTTGATAATCGTCGCTGTCTTCTTCAATGAAATCACCAGTGATCCAAACGAATTCATTGTATGGGATTAAAAACTCTGCATTCGATGATTAACCGTCGTTAAAACTGACCTTGATCATTCCTGACGCATTGGGGCATCATTTTATGGGTGTTAGGTGTAATTTAAATAGTTATGAATTACGAACCATCTAGATCAAACTAGATAATATATAGTCAAGCGCATTTAGCAAGACTTCGTGATGAGTAGTAGCTCCTTCAATGAGAAGAATGTGTACTCATCAATTCAATCATATTAATTCAAATTCTCATTGTTAACAATCATCATATTATAACTTCATTCGAAATATGGTGACTACAGAAAGTACCTACTTATATTGAGTCAAATGAGTATTGTGGCATCTAGTTACATGGAATGATCAACAAAATGTTGAGTTAATTAATCAACCTACCCTGATCATTGTTTTAGATTTTTATTTTTTATTTTATTTTCACAAACAGGAATACAAACGGGACGAACCCAGAAACAGTATTCACATATATACTACTAAATATGTCATGTTGCAATTCAATACAATACAGTAGAAATATTTTATATGTATATGAAAAAAATACTGAACATATCAATTAGGCGATAGTACAAAGTGTTTCTTAAGTTTGTTCACAAAGGTAGTTAAAGAGTCAGAAAAAATATCAATCTCTATTATGTTTGAAATAGAGTTATAACTTTTCAAGCATCGATGTAAAGGGGAATTCAAATAGTAATTTGTGTTTGGTATGGATGTATGGAACAGATTATAATGGCGGGTGGAATATTGTGGAATATTGTAATAAATCAAGTTATTGATGGATGGAGAATGAATGATACCATTTATAATTTTGAAAGAAAATTTGATGTCGGCAATAGCTCTTCTGTCAGCAAGACTGATCAAATTGAGTTTTTGATGTACGAAGTGATATTGTGGAGTGTTATCGAAATATTTTCTGTTGACATAATAAATGAATTTGTTCTGGATACTTTCTATTTGTTTCATGTATATTATATAGTGGGGGTTCCAAATAGTTGACGCAAAGCCTAACAGACTATTTACGTATGACATAAAAAGAGTACGCAAGGTATTATAATTTCTAAAAGGATAAGTTGTTCTTAAAATGAAACCTAGCATTTTGTTCGCTTTCTTAGATATGTAAGAAATATGTTTATTGAAGGTCATTTTCGAATCGAAGATAATTCCCAAATCCTTCACTTCACTACAGGTGTGGAGATTATGATCCTGAATGGTGTAATTATTGGTTATCAAGTTGAAATTTCTACTGAATGTCATCTGATGGCATTTGTTGAGGTTCAGAAAAAGGGCGTTATTCCTGCAATACTCTGAAAATCGGTCAAGGTCCTCTTGAATTAGCTTACAATCGTCCAAGTGTGAAACTGTATGAAATATTTTGAGATCATCAGCATACATAAGAAAATACGAAAATTTGAAACATTCAGAAATGTCATTTATATAAATGTTAAATAGTAGGGGACCTAGATGTGAACCTTGAGGTACACCCGACGTTATGTTAACTGATCTTGAGAGATAGTTGCCAATACAAACAACCTGTTTACGATCACTCACGTAAGATTGAAACCAATTCAATAGGCAGCCGGTCACACCGACATCAGCCAGCTTTTGTACCAGCAATGTATGATCGATCTTATCAAAAGCTTTGCTGAAGTCGGTGTAAACGGCATCCACTTGAATTCGGCTATTCAAGCTTTTCAATATATATTCAGTATATTCGAATAAATTTGTTTCGACAGAGCGCTTTCTGACAAATCCATGTTGTTGTATATTCAAAATTTGCATGACATCATGATAAAGATATTCAAATATTATACTTTCAAACAATTTTGCTAATATACATAATTTGGACACTGGTCTATAATTCTGAGGTAACTGTTTCTGTCCAGATTTATGAACTGGAACAACGAATGCTTTTTTCCAGGCGATTGGAAAATGCCCTTTATCTAAAGATTTGTTAAACAGAAGATAGAGAGGAAATGTCAAACTCTCTGCACACATTTTAATGAAATTTGTCGGAAGGTCATCGGGGCCAGGGCCCTTATTCGGGAGAGATTGTATTTTAGATTTGATAACGTTTTCGGGTATGTAATAGTTACTTATATTTGGGGAATTGAAGCGAGTAGATACCCTGTTTCCTTGGTTTTTCAAAGGTTCACTGAAAGCTGATAAGAAATGATCAGCAAATATTTCACAAATTGTTTTACCTTCCGTCACAATATCATCGTTAATAATAACAGATGTTATCCTACTGGATGAGTTCTTCTTTGTCTTTACATAATGCCAGAATTGTTTAGGATCGGATGATATATTTTTTTCACATGAATCTATGTAATTTTTGTAGTCAAGTTCTATAAAATATTTGGAACGTCCACGTAAGATTTTGAAGGTGAGATAATCCATGTCGTTATGGTATTTTTTCCATTTTGAGTGATATTTATTCTTCTCTTTAACAACCTTGATGGTGCTAACAGAAAACCAACAAGGGAATTTTTTACAGACTATTTGGATTTTTAGGAACAAATTTATCTACAGCTATGTTGATCTTAGAATATAAAAGGTCAGCGGTCTCATCAACAGTTTTTCCCAGAAACAGATCATGCCAATCAATCCCAGCAAAGAAATTGTTGATCAAGTCATAATTTGCCTTATTGAAGTTGTAGGCATGAAATTTATTTTCCAGATTACGAGTCGTGTCTATATGTGATAATTCCAGAAGGAATTCAAGGGTAGTATGAAACTTATCTTCACGAACTAGGGGTGATTGGCATAATTGTAACCTTCGTAAGTAACCACAGTTGTTGAAGACAAGGTCAAGTATATTTCCAGATGAATTAGTAAAATGATTGTGTTGAGTAAAATTTCCAAAAGAGAGTGTATCGATCAACAAATTACTACTTATGTCAGTATAATTCCTAGGACTACAAAGATTGTTGACTTCATCGAAATGCCATTGTATGGAGGGAATATTGAAGTCACCACAAATCACGATATTGTCATTCGGATTGCTAGTGATAATATTTGTCAATTTCGAGCAGAAGGAGTTCAAAGCCACATAATCAGATGGGGGTATATATACACAACACAAATGAAATTTTATACATTTTTTATCACCTGCATCAGTTATTAATGTTACCCAAAGATCCTCTGCTTCGGATGACCAATCCTCTTGTATGTAGCTGTTGATTGAGTTATTGACAGCAATCAAGGTGCCACCTCCTTCCAGTTTGCAGCAGGCTGAGGATGCTCGATCTCTGCGATATACATTGTAATTTCCAGAAAACACTTCACTATTAAGCACATTATTGTTGAGCCATGTTTCAGTAAAGCACACAATGTCATAGTCACAGATCGTTGTGCCAATATATAGTGTTGATAACTTGGATTTTAGACCTCGGACATTCTGGTAATATACTGATAAAGCCATGGGTACAAACAACTTCTTGAATCTAGTTAGGTTCATAAGATGAAATTACTGTAGTTTCAAGATATCACCTTCCTTTCCTATGCTAATCACCTTCGATCTCTCGTCTTTCCTTACTAAAATGTTTCCATTTCTCACCCAAACAAATTTGAAGTTCTTGCTTTTGGCGGCTTCCTTGGTATTCTTGAGCAGCAACTTTATCTTACTGGTTAGATGTTCATTTATGAATAACTTCTTTGATATATTTTCTATAGCAATACCAGCAGTATTGCTTTCACGCCTGAGTCTTTTGGTTGCAGCTAGAATCGAATCCCGTTTATGCTTATTTAATAGTTTGACTATGATGGGTTTCATCTGTTGAGCAGACGAGGGATGGGGGGCAACACGATACACGGTGTCTATGTCTGCCTCGGCAATAGGACACTTGACGTGTTCACCAATCTTACACATAATGCTCAACAGATTTTCATTTTCTCTGAAGGGCACACCTTGTATTTCTAGGTTATTCGCTCGAGTTTGCTGTTCCAAGAGATCCACTTTGGTATGTAGTTGGGATACTTCTATTTTCAAGTTAACATTTTCTCGGTTCACTTTCTCCAGTGACGCTATTTTCTCGTTCATTCTATTCATAGCGGTTTCGAAAGTGCTGATTTGATTGCTACAGAAATTGACAGAGTCCATAACATCCTCATATTTCTTATTGAGAGATCGCAGATTTTCTTGGATATCTTTCAATATCAAAGTGACTGAAGAAGGTACAGATTCCATATCAGTATCATTGCTTTCGGTTCCAATCACAATAGATGTATTATTTGTCACGTCTCTACAACTTGGGCATATCCAGTGCACTCCATGCATAAGAAATTTATTGAGATCTTGTTTATTAATATCTACACATTTACCGTGGTAAAACTTTCGGCAATCCCCTGTACACTGCAACCCAGGAGATTTATTGTTTATACCTGAAGTACATGATTCACAAACGGGCATCTTGAAGCAAAAAGTGTGATTCTTTTTTCCACGTCGAGCCGTCGGTGACCAGCAAATCGGTGATAAAAACTACACCTGTTTCCTCTAGATACACTACACTATTGAATGTTAAATGCAATTATCAGGACTGGTAGACGTTCTACCGGATATTAATTTTCACCAATATTTCGGCGTGACTCTTGCACAGTACGTGTGAAAATTTCACGAAATTTAGATAAGTATTTCCACTGTATTAGAAACAAGGGGATCAGTTTACTAGTTGATACATCAGAAATAAACAGGCGTTCTCAAAAGACCACTTCTGAGCAATTGAATTGATGGTTTGTAATAAATGAAGTGTTTATTGTCAGAAGTTCCTTGTGACTGTTGGAAGAATAATTGAACACCGTATCTAAGTCCTTATTGAAAATATGATTTCTTGCATTGGAGGAGTATTGAAACAGAAGAATTTCAAGATAGTCCATGAGATTCTAGTCTTGCTCATACAAGAATGAGTCAAATTGGCGATCAAAATAAATGGAACAAGAGGTCACCATGATTTTCTAGGAAGAAATCCTCAGAATAGAATTCATTAAACATTCACGATACACAGATTATATGTATGTATCACATGACTACTCAGAACGAGATGGGAGGAAAATTTTTCACCATAGGGCTCGTAGTTTTGCTGGAAATCAAGATAAACCATTTTTTACCCATGAAAACTCACTCCCACTTAACGACTTCAGATCGCCCGTAATTTATTTTTCCTTTTCCTTCCTACTATAAGTTTTCTTCACATTTTACCGTTTCCAGAGGCTTCAGCACTGGTCTATGAACGAATCAAACTCAATAAAAAACTTTGTCAAAAAACTTACTTCAATATTTCAGTGAAGATAGCTGTTATTCCAGTTATTTTTCCATGAAATTATCTTTTCCGATGAAGTCAACTGAAACAACTATATTACTCATAGTTTCTTCAATACACCATAAATTACCATTCTGAGCATTTTCTCTCCATATTCTTTTCGAAAAAGTAATCTAGGTGCTTCCTTCTATCTATCCTAAATCGCATTCGTCGAAACTTCAACAATTACAACACTCATGAACCTCACCCTCCAGAAAAGCTATAGACGCACTACAGTTATATATATCAAGACGGCGTATAAAAATTATCAGAACACGAAATGAGTCGAACACTCTAGGTGCAATAACTGAATGTAACTAATGATTACACCTATACCCATCATAGCCAACTGAACATGTCACACGCAAATAGTCGTAGCAAAAAAAATCATAATTGTATATATGTTTTGATGTTTTTTTCTATCTGATACGAGTAATATCAGAACAAACAGAATAGATTATGAATTAGGGCTGATTTACTCTGGTTCGTTGACCATGAACAAGTCTAGTGGAAAATTGACCTGAGGGCTCAATCGGGATCTTGTAGGTTCTTTCTCCACATGCATATTTTATTTGCTCTGATGTTCAGTCTTTTCGAGTGACAGAAATGTAATACTCACTCACTGTATCAAGAACTTGGATAGACGATATTTTAAATTCCATTGAAAAAAGACAGAAGCTCGAGAAATATAATTCTCGTTACACGTCAAATGAATCAGACAAATATTCATCCTGATTACAATCAGCTTCATACTGATATTATGCCTAGCCAACAACGCTATTTGAAAAAGGATACTCCAGAATTTGTCGACCTAATTCAAGTGTGTTCGACCACATTATCAACTAGGTATATGATCTTTCATTCAACAGCAATGTTGGTTATTTTATTTGAATTGAGGTGTTTTAGAACACTTGTATGTACCCTCGTATGTACCATAGACAAGGTCTCGGTCTTGACTGGAAAAACGAGAAACAAATTGGACAGAACTAACCTGGCACCTTGAAGATTACGTCGATAATATTAAAGATGATATTGTTCTTGCTATCTTGCTAGAATGTATTCTCCTTCTTTCGAACGTTAGATCATCAATGTTTGAAGATTCGATATCTGAATGGAGATTTTAATCCTGAATAAAGCTCTATATAGCTCTACAGAGAACTCTTTATTGAGCGAAAGAACCATATACTTATAGCATATATAGCATGTGGAGAACTTACATAACATAACCTTCATCTACATACACTGAGAGAAACTGGATATTAAAAAAATTAACCAGCTCTGATTGTAATAACCATTATAAAAAAATCTATTCCTGATCATTTTATTATTACAACAGTATTCTCTCCATTCTGTAGTTATTAAAATCGCTTTCTTAAACCATTTGTAATACCCTTGAATGGACATTTGCTACCATCATAACGCAGGTGTGTTATGACATTATGAGAATTTTATAAATTCTAGTCTGTTCAGACTTTTTATCGACATAGCTCGTTTTGTGAATTATGCTTATTGGTAAATTCAGATAATGTTTGTTTCAATAACCATAGCTGTTCGGGTTTCTAGCATTGTACGTTGACGAATAACTATAGTAATTCACATGTATGACGGTTATTAGACAATCATTCGACAATCGTAATTCGGCTCATTACGCTCTGGTTTTGCATTAGTTTTGGGGCTGACAAAGCTACAGATCGCGTTTATTCTCACTTCTGTTCTCGGTCATGGGTGTCCGTGTCCAATCATTGTTCAATGGTTTCGACCGTCCGAATCGACAGAGTCGTGTCTTGTAGGTGAAGGTGTGTGATGTAGCAAAATTTTGTTTTAGTGCTGGCTGTGAACAAAGCTGTGAAATACACCATGCATTGCATTACTGCAATGAAAAAAGTATTCTCCATGCCCTCTTTTAACGGCCCCAAATCGGTTTATTTCGAAGAAAAAAATGATAGATGAGATTCTGAATTAAAATATCTGGGTTTCTGTGAGGGAAGTTTCATTGAAAATTCTCATCATAACTCCGTAGGAAGAGTAAATATAGGTATTCAACTTCTCATTCCTTAATAAATTCGTCAGTATGTATACAGATGATATTTCTCCGAAAAAATTATAATAATAATAATAATAATAATAATAATAATATTTATTTGCTAGTTAAAGTTTGAATCCGGGAAATCTTATTTTTAAAAAGATTTATTTCGGAACAGAACTTAACAAAAATCAAAATTAGGTACCAAGTGAACAGTAAGAATTCTAAAGTCAGACTAACTATAAAATATGGAATATAATCCAAGTGAATACGCAAAGTCAGCATCTCGGGACCGTTCTCATGAGAACTCTAGGAATCCGTAACGGTGGTGGCTTCAGATATCGCTGAATAAAGGTGGAATCAAATTGTAACTACTTCATCCCCTGAAGAAGTTTTGTGAGGGACGAACAGAACTGAAGACTGCGGTGCTGGCTTCTGCGATGTCTTCTTTGGGCAGGTGAGGAATCGGCGCCACTTGTAACAAATGGCTGCTAGGATGGCTGCGACGACGATGTATACCGAGGCTGTCCAAAAGTGACTGTGGTCGGCGGCTTCTCTGATGACTAAGGGTTGAAGGTGTTCTTGCTCGCTTTGGATTTGGTGGAGTTCATCGAGGGCGACTTTCTCCAGGCGGATCGGGCTCAGATGTTTCATCGGTTCACTGTTGATAGTCTTGATTCTTGGCAGGGTTAGCGGTTCTTCGTGTACCACTTCTTTGGAATTTATGTAGCTGTCTTCGGGGGTGTGAAACTCACAGCCTGGTGGTAACTCGATGAGGAACGTCCCTTGAAGTACTGATATGCCTGATACTTGGCACTGGGTGGCGATTTTCGTCGATTGTGGAAATATACCGACGTAGTGGGCTTTGGTCAGTTGTTCGATCAGAGTAGCATTGATCGATATTGGAACTAGTTGGCATTGGGCGGCTTCGTCTGAGAGCTGAAGAATCTGGGAGATGCAATCTGGACTACGTGTTCGGTATTGAATGGCAATATTTGGGCAGAGGTACCCGAAATCGATTTTTCGGCATGGTCTATCTGTATACTGGTGGAGTTCTGTATTCATTGTCAGATAAGGTTTGGGTGGAATAATGGTGGTTAAGTTACTAGTAGGGATTGAGAAGAAGTGGTAATGATTGAATATATCTGGTATTAGGAGTGGAAAGTGTAAAATGAAAACGATCATTGATTTTGAGTAATAGGCGTCGACTGATATGACATCATAGTATTTCAGCAGATCTTCTTCGTTTATACACAGGGGCTGTTTCTCTGAGTGGTGTCTTAACATTATATCGGTTATTGATTTCAATTCATTGGTTCTGATGATACTATTATGAAGGGTATTGATTCTTGCGAATGTAACTGAATTTTCTAGATCGGTGAGTAGTTGAAGTATTAGTTGTAACGAGAGGCTTATCTGGTCCAGGATATTTCTTGTTAGCATGTAATCATTGGATTCGAATACGAATTTATTGAGTTTGGATCGAATCGTATCGATTTCTCTGACAATTACTTCTTGGTTGTGTGTTATTAAGGTAACTGTATTGTTGAAGTTCTCTATGAGTCGAGTTGTTAGTGACATGTGTTGATTCAAACGTTGAATGACGTTCTTCTGATTGCTTCGGAAAGTGGTTATGGCGTTATCATATTTTTCGGCATCTTCATTGTCCGAATTACCAGATATAGCTTTGATAATGCTGCCAAAGGCATTGATTAGGCCTCTCTTACTTCGGTGAGACGGGTAGATTGTCTGAAATTTTCGATGTACTGCGTCTAATTGGTATCGTAATCCTTGGTCAAAATTTTGAAGACTGTCGAAATATGGGTGGCTTAGTCCATCAGCGATAGCGACTGTGACCTTCTCGTACTGGTCTGTTAGGGCGTCTATTTCTATGGCGATTGGTGTGAGGTTGTAGTAGTGTATGAAATCATGGGAACTAATTTGTATTTTGGCTTGGCCCAGCTGGAAGGGAAGGATCCCTGGGATGTCTTTAAGATCCTGGATCCTGATTTCCTGTCCCAGCACGGGATTCCATCTGCAACGAGGATTCACGGTCAATTCTTCGTTCGGACTTGTGTTTTATATTTTTCT